GGGGGGGGGCTGCCAGTGGTGGCATCTGTTTGTGTGCCTGTGTGTGCCGCCCCCACAGGCCTTCGTCACACGGTCTCCCTGGCTGCCTGGAGAGCTTTCTACAAAACATGAAAATGACGCTTGGGCTCACCCACGCACGAAATCCTCAGCCGGCCGCTCCCTGGCAGCCCCTCTCCCACGGCCTCGGCTGCTGCCCTGGCTCGCCTCCCTCTCTCACTTCTGCACATCCTCTCCTTGCCTCACCTGCTAGTTCTAGGTCTCTGCCACTTTCCTGTGGCTTCTCCTCCTCAGGGCTCAGGAAGAGTGTACAGTGTGTGGTGGTGTGAGTAACCGTGTGCAGGCAGGCGTGCGTGTGTGTGTCAGAGAGACAGAGCACAGGGGCTGAGCCTGTGCCCCAGACAAAGACGCTTTTACTCAATTACTCGTCAAGCAATGAGAGGCGCAAGCAGGGGCTTCACAACAGTGGGACAGGTTTTCAGGACATGTTGGAAAAGCCCTCATTTCCTGGGACAGTGGTTGACAGGTGGAGCTGGCAGCAGTGTGGGTTGTTGGGGGCTGGGGGAAGAATGGCACCCAGGGTCAAGCTGGGGCCATGGGCCCTGGCACCTTCCCCAGATGATGAGTTCTGTCTTTTGGGGTGGGGGTGAGTTGCAATTGAGCACAAGAAATACCGAGAAGAGACCCTGTGGATGTTTCTTGTGCAGATCTGGGAGGCTTCCTGGAGGAGGTAACCTGCCTCCACAAAGCTGCAGGGCTGGTTGAGCATGCGTGAGGGGGTGGATCTGTTTGGCCAGTCCCTGAGGAAGAGAATGAGGGCAGCGTTGAGGACTCCAGGGTTGCCTGTGAGTCTCTCTGCCTAACTGGTGCTGCTGGAAGTCAGAGAGGGTACGAACCAGGTTGAGTCATCCTGGGGTCTGTAGCATCCACACTGGCCTAACCAGTCGTGGACTTCAGGGCATCTGCATGGAGCCTTAAAGCATGCACAGGGTTTCCTGGGCAGAGAGAGGGAAGGGAATTCTAGCAGAAGGAACAGCATCAGCAGAACCTGGAGGCAGGGATGATGTAAGCCAGTGAGGTTGGACCTGGGTGCCTAATATGGCATCAGTGTCTGATGGAAGAGAACTAACATGCCCAGGAAGGAGAGTGGGTCATTCCTGCAGGCAAACGGACCAGGGAGGAAAATGCACAAATCACGCCCCGGGAGATATGGCCAGTGATGCCTGACTTGGTCAGAGCTTGGAGGCTGGGGAAACAGCGAGAGAAGGGCAGCTCTGGTGTGACCTTGGTTGTGTACCTCCACCCATTTGCTGTGTGACCCGAGGCACCTGGTGTCCCCTCCCTGACCCTTATCTTCTCATCTGTAGTTGAGGGCTTCTAACCCTGGCTTGAAGGACTCATGAGGGGGTCACAATACCCTCAATGAGGGGATCACAACCCCTGATGATGTGACTGCAATGCCCAGTCACCTGCCGGGGTCAGCCTGGGATGGCTTGGCCAGGTGGATGAGATCCAAGTGGATGTCTGCTCGCCACAGCTGTGTCTGCTGGGATCCTTCCTGCAGTCTAGGAGGTAGACAGAGACCCATGGCAAAGTTAGGATTCCTAGCCCCTTTCTTACCCTTTCCAGGCATTGCGTGAGTACCTGGAGACCCCCATGGCCCCATCCATAGCCTAGCCACACTTCCTACCATGCCCTTACTGGTCTCTCCCCACCTCTCTCTACAGGATGGTCGAATACTCCCTGGATCTTCAGAACATCAACCTGTCAGCCATCCGCACTGTGCGTGTCCTGAGGCCCCTCAAGGCAATCAACCGTGTGCCCAGTGAGTCTGCCCTGCTCTAGACCCTGACTGCTGACCCTCCCAGCTGACCTCTCATTGAGTCACTCAACAAAGACTGACCATCGCTTTCTAGCGCCTGTGCTGGGCTTGGGGGTGGGGGGCAGTGTTTCTCCGGTGGCCTGAATGGTGAGAGCCTGCTCTCACGGCCCAGGATTTTGGAAGAAGATGCTGGAGGGTAGCCCTGATGTCTCTGAGTCCCCAAAGGACTTGGGTTTCAGTCTGCTGGGGATTCTGGCTTTCTAGGGACAAAAGGCTCTTTGGGGGACAGTTCACAGGTTGTCATGGTGGGGACCTGGGAAAAGAAGTTGCTGAGCTTGAGAAGAAAGGATCATGGGACATTTCACTGGCGTGAGTCCACAGGTCCTGCACTTGTGCCAACTGACAGAGAAGTCTAGCTTCCCATCCAGCCACCAGCCATTGGCCCATCTCTCCCCTGCTCACCCCTCTACCTGTCACTCCTCCCTCTACCCACTCACCCATCCACCCATCTATCCACTAGCCTACCATCTCCAGGTACCCCCATCCATTCACTCCCCCATCCACTCATAGGTCCATTCACCCAGCCATCACCCATCCATCCATCCATCCATCCATCCATCCATCCATCCATCCACTCACCTAGTATCAAGAGAAGTTATAAACACAAGGCCTGGCATCTGCTCAGCCTTGTATGTTTCCAAAGCTTTTTCATCTTTCTTGATTTCCTTTGAACTTTACAATCACCCTATGAAGGAGGTAGAGCTATTCTCACTTTACAGATGGAAAAATCTGTCTTGATCCCATATCCTAACCTCCCTGCGTGACAGGGCATTTGAGCTGGGGAAGATCTAAGCATGGGTTGTTGTTGTTGTTGTTGTTAAGTGCCCTCAAGTTGATTTTGACTCATAGTGACCCTGTACAGTGTGTCCCAGGAGTGGCTGGTAAGTTTGAACTGCTGACCTTATGATTCAAACTGACCTTGTGGTTCAGTGCTTATCCTACAGCACCACGCCAGGGGTCCTAAGCGGGGGTGGGGGTAAGGGTGGGCAATTTGGGCACAGAGTGTATGTTTCTGACATAGGTGTGTGTGGGTGTGAAGGTCTAAGTGTGTCGATGTGGGACCACGTGTTGTGCACACGGGTGTGGACACGTGTCTCCTGCCCTGGTCCCCCTTCCTTCCCTCTCTTACTAGGTGAGGCCCTCATTAAGCCACTGCTTAGCTGTACAGGTCACTCTGAGTTGCCCGTGGTGCCAGCCTGCCTGGCAAGCAGAAGGCAAGCATCGACCCTGTGCCACCATCCCTGAGCTCCTGCAGGCTCAATTACAGAGGCTCATCAGTTGAAGAGACCAGCCGGGAGCTAAGGGGCCTCCTGCTGCTAATAGCATCACTGAGGGCCCAGTGCGACCTGCAGTTGGGGGTGGGCTTTCCGTGCCGAAGCCTGATTCCCACTCTCAACTAACAAATGTCACCCCCTCTCAGAGCCAGGGTCCCTTTGGGACCCAAAATAGAGCCAATGGCCGTCCCTACCCCATCCGTGTTTTAGAGACTTCCGCCTGGAAAGAGGCCTTAAGACGGGCTTATGAATAATGTAGTTACTAATAGGAGCATTATGCTGTCAGGGCAGGTGGAGCCTCTCATTTTACAGGAGGGGCAGCTTTGTCCACAGTTTGGGAAGGGCTAACTTGGGGGAGGGCACTAGTTCTTAGAAGAGCTCCCTAGATAGGTTTGGATTGTTGCCCCCATTTTCCTTAGAAAAAATTCCCCAAAACATTCAAAGTCATTTATCATGACAGCATCTGTGTTAGAAATCCTTCAACAATAGCGTGTAGTTTACAGTTTTGCCACTAGATGGCAAGATAGAGAGTTGATAACAGGCAAAGTCCAATCATGGGATTATTAATTGCAAAACTGTGGGCGGGAGGGTGGCTACCTGCATTTAGAAGTACATGGAGAAAGGTTAGTGACTGGGGTCTTAACAGCTTGTGCACTGTAGGTCTCTCTCCGCCTGGAGTAAAGAGCAGTAAAGAGGCATGGGAAGAAATAGTCCAAAGGATTAAGGGATCACTTGAACTTCAGCCTCCAGGACCCTGAGACAAGAACTAGGTAGTGCCCGACTATCACTGCCAACCCCTCCGAAATGGATCACAACAGGAGATTCTGGATAGAGTGGGAGAAAAATGTGGAACAAAACTCAAAAACATGAAAAAGACCGGGTTTATTGGTCGAACAGAGACTGGCGGAACCCCCAAGAATCTAGCCCATTAGTCACTATTCAAGTCTGGAACTGAACTCACCCATCCTCTTCCCACTCATCCTCCCCAAACAATAGACAGGCCTATCAGGGACTTTCAGTGTGGCACTGTAGGATCAGCATTGGACTTCGAACCACAAGGTTGGCAGTTCAAATCCGCCCTCTATGTCTCGGGAACACTATACCAGATCACTGTGAGTCAGAATCGACTCAACAGCACTTAACAACAATCAGGTAAGGAGGTAGCACTCTTTAGATCAATCAATCACGCGAGATCAAAAGAGCAGCACTTAGTGCAAGAACAAAGTGCAAAAACCAGGAAGGCTTAGGAAAGAAGGAGGACCGGAAACAGGAAACTCAGGGAGGAAGTGGGATGAGTGATGATGTTACACTGTAGGGATTGCAGTCAATGATGTGAAACAAAATACGTATGAATTGTTGAACGGACAACTGATTTGCTATGTAAACCTTCTCCCAATTCAAAATAAGAAGCAAAAATAAAAGAGAAGGCAGTAAAGTCTCAGCACGATTCATTAGAAAGACGCAGTTGGGTTGTCAGTGGCACAAGTTCTGGTCTCAGCTCTCAGGAGCTTTCTGTGTGATCTCAAAAGTTCCTTGGCATCTCTGGACCTCCGTTTTCCCACAGAGCAGAGGGGGGCTGCATTCGATCTTTGGTCCTTGGGGGGGGTCCTGGGAGTCAGGGTGCTTATTAAAGAACCCCACAGAAACATGGCTTTCATTCCCCCCTGGCCGGTCAACCTTTGAGTTGAAGGAGAAGACTGGGGAAGAAAGAAAAAATCACAAGACTGGAAGTTCCAGGTTCTGCTTCTTTACTGTGTGGTCTTTCATTAGTTACTGCCCCCCTCTCTGGGCCTCAGTAAGATGGGGCTAGATTATCTCCCAATGTGTCCATTCCTGATACCAGCCAACAACAGGCCTCACTATCCTATACACCCCCTAAGCTATGGCAGACCCCTCCCAAAGTCCTCTGAGTCATTTGACTATGAAAAGTACTTTTATTTCTCCAGTAAGAAACTAGGGCAGTTACTGCCAAGGCCTGAGCCAGCTAAGCCCCACTTACCTTAGATCAAGCCTCTGGAATACCTGGTCCACATTTGTGCTTAGTCACCGCACACACCCAACCCCGGCTGTGAAAGCAGGTGGGAGGCGGACTCTGCAGCTGAGCCTGGCCTGGACCACTCCCTGTCTCCAGAGCCCCTCCTGTTCACCATCCCGGTTTCAGCAGTAACCCATCTCCATGCAGGGGTCCCTGGGTGGGCCTGGGGGGTGGGCATACAGCGAGGTGAAGGAGGCACAGAAAGGGAGGTAAACTGTCCGTTAACCCAACCTGCTCGTTTGACAGGAAGGACAGCTTGGTCCTCAGGTGCCACGTCCCTGCCAGGCTCACCAGGGCATGAGTGACTTGTAGGAACACAGGCTGTGTGGTAGGTCATTGTCAGACCCCAGATATAGGATGGAGACTAGAAGCCATCTGTACTTTCATTTCCCTGTTTCTGAAAAGGGGTTTGTAATACCTGCTTCCATACAGTTTTTTTTTTTATAATTAATATTTTGTTAATTATGTGATACTTTACATGGGAGAACATTAGCTTTACATTCACCCTATTGTATATCATTTCATTGCCATGGTTACAATCCCCTCCATGCATCATCAACCAACTGGAGGGTATACCCCATAAGCCTGCCCCTCAGTCGCCAGCACACAGCCCCTCTCCTTCCCAGACTCCAGAGTCCCCAGTCGCTCCATCTCTCTACATCATTGCCTCTGCCTCCATCTCTGGCATCACTGTTTCTCTGGGTAAGGTCCTGCTTTCCGCTCTTTTCCCTTGATGGTCCCAGGAACCTCCACTCCTGGACTGCAAAGTCAATCACTCCCCTCCTTTTGCTAAAAAAGGTCTACCTTTACATTTACAACCCTCACAGTTAGTCCAGATACCAGTTATTCACTAGTGTACACATGTCCTTTCATCAGCCCTGCCTAGACAGATTGGAAACCACTCAGTGGCGATTCTACCTTCCCACGCACCCTCTCGATCTAGGCTCCCTCTTGAAAGCTTGTAAGCCAGTCACTTTCTTGCCTTTGTAGCCCCCCCCTCCCCCGTTTTGGGTAGCCAGTGTCCAAGTTGCCCATCCCTGTCTGCTCTGTGTATGGAGGAGGTGGGAATGATCCTCGCTGTAAAGATTTATTCCCTCTTTTGAGCTACTGCATCCATTGGTGTAGGTCAAATTCCTCAAATTGTATCAGATTACTCTTTTTTCCCTCTTCTTTCTTCTTCTAGTTGAGTTCTGATCATCCAGTCACTGAAGCCAGGATAAGTGGGTATTATTTGCAAGTATGGGTGTTCTTATGCATATACCCTCTCTTCTTATCAGCTGGATGCTTCACTCTCCACTCTAGTCCTCTGTGGCTATGTCACTGACTCTGGGCCCAAGAGTTCCCAGGTCTTGCCACACTGCTGGCCAACCAGGTCTCCACCTGGGTTCACAGAGTCTATTGAACGTGGTAAGACTTAGCTCACAGCTTCGTTGCTCTTTTTCCCTTACTTCCCTCCATATAGTTATATAAAGATGAAATGCCATATAGAGAGTTTAGCATTGGAGACCTCTTCTCGGAGGGTTTGGAAGACATTCACCCAGTGTACAGGGTGCTGGGGAGGGAGTTCCTGGTAGAGGGCGGAACTCGTGTGTCCACAGGTAAAGTGGGGGAGACTATCCAGGGGAGCAGTGACT